AAACAAACAAACAAACAAAAAGAATCATTTATATTTGGTAATTCGTGACACGTTCATCGCGAATATCTTATCTCTGAAACAAAACTCTAACTGTCATTTACATTCACAAGATATTTAACCTGTATTGTTCCCGAGGGAATAAAAGTCCAATCCAATGATAACGAGAGTCTTTTAGAAGCCAAAACAAGGCGAAACCACGATATTCTACGAGCGTGATTCCACAGGTAATTAAGAGAGAATTCTTTTCGTATTCAAGCAGTGAGCGTCAAAAACTATTTTCTTGAAGAAAGGCTGTTGTACAAGGCTAAAATCTTGTTATTCGGAAAGTTTAACTTATTTGGAAGTGGAGATGACCGATGAAAGTCGAAACCAACCCAAAGCAAAAATTGTATTCGAAAATGAGGTTTAGGCCTTCATTTGCTTATTTTCCATACATTTTCTATAAAAAAGCCTGACAAAGCTACAATCTAACACAAATGCCACAAAACATCTTTGTACAATTGAAAATACCGCTTCAAATAAGCATTTTATCATAGTACATCAGTTTCTAACCGTTAAAAAAAGTTTGAGTGTTAACCCAAAACCMAAACTGGGATCAAAACTCATACGAAAGTCTAGTTTTTGGCGCTTTTTGCCATTATTGCTCGTTATTGAAATAAATTTTCTCTTAAATTAAAAAAAAACTTAGAGCGTGCGATTACATCAACTAAGGCCACCCAAACAAATTTTCACTCAAATTCACAAATCACATTTTTGAATGCTGCATAACAGATTCATGAATTGATGAATTCTGGATTTAAAACTGTTTTTTGTTCACTCATGATCATACACACACTTGTATAAAGTAATATATATGCTTGAAAAAGGAAAAATATGAAAATTTGTGCAGATTCTATTGTTTAAATACTCAATTCTCCGTTTAGCACCAGCAAAAAAATACACGTGGTTGCAAAGTGCTTTTTGGTTCCAATAAAAAAACAATCCTTATGACCATGTAGAGCTACTTATAATACAACGCTGAGCAAAAACTTGGAGCATTAGAGAATTTCTAAAACGAGCTATGAGCGAACGAAGTTACCCATATTTTAGTGTAAATGTTTGGCGAAAATCTAGTATCATCCAACATGGCGGCCAAATTTCAAAAAAATATTGAATGACAAAAATCCATCAAATTCACTTCAAACATGTACCAAATCTAATTTATAAACTTGTAAAACACTAAAAGATTTTTATTTAGAAAAAATATATGTATTTCTTTGACTTTTCAGACACGTATTGAGCGTAAGGTGAGGATTTACCGATTAGAAAATTAGATTCGCACAACTCGGAAACAAAACGATGAAGCGATCTGAAATTTTCTACACTTAGTAACATCATAGTTCTCTAAGACATATCAAAGAATCGAGTTTCTAGCATTCACAATTAATTTTATGTTGTTATTTTCTTGGTCTATGACGTCACGTGCAAAACGAAGAATCGTAATTTGTATGAAAATTTGTCTGGGTGGCGGTTGGTGTAGTCACACTGTAAATATATTTTGTACAAAGATCTAAAAACGCTCCAAAAATTTGTAGATAACACATACAACCGTTTTTGTGTAAATAAAGAATACTTTTCCTACACTTATTCTAGGACAACACGGTAATGAACTATTCATTCAAGTAGACAACCGATCGGAGGAAAATTACGGACAGTCGTCTTGGATATTTACAATAGACCAGCAGAAATGACAAGCAGAGTAGCTCAACGTTGAAAAATTCATGATTGCTTTTCCAAAAAGTCCCAAAAAACTGGCTCAAAAACCGTATAAAAAAACGCTTCCAGATTTTCTAAAATTATTTTCGTTCGATTATTCCTCAGTCATAAGATCAACGTAATGACACACAGTTCGCATGTTTGTGAAAATTACAGCAATGTATTGAAATAACTTTATTTACTTTTTGATATCCATACATTTTAAAAAGTTTTTGGTCCTTAATAGACGTTTTGACTGATACGGCGATGGGCTGAACTGGGTGGATGGTGTCTGTGTGCTGCGTTATCGCCGTGTGATATAGTCATGGGAGTCCTGTGGTCTATGAGTGTTAATAGGCGTAATGATTTTCCATTTCAGACCACGTGTCATTCCCTAAAGCTAGTATTATCTGTTTGTTAAATTGTTGCGCATGAAAAGACACATAAATATGGATACCACAAAACGTTGTATTCTCAAGAGAATGACAGGTCGTCTATCTGAAATAGGCAAATAGTACGCCCAAGCTAAGCTGCAGGCTTATAAAGGATGGTTTGTAAAATAAGTCGATCGGGTGGCACTACACAGGAAGCCCAAGAAAAGAATTTCTCTGAAGATGTACTAAAAAAAGACGAATTTACTAATGCAGCTGTGTAATACTTTAGGATGATTATCAAGCCCACATACTGCTAAAGTGGTTTGAACTACGAATATCCGTTCTCATAAAGAATAATAGTATTGATAAAAGGGTAAATTATACACCGTGAAAAGATGAAAAAAGTTTTTTCATCTTTTCACGGTGTATAATTTACCCTTTTGTTTTTTTATCTTTTCACAGTGTATAATTTACCCTTTTATCAATACTGTTTTATTAGAAACATCGACGAGGTTCACGCTAGTTTTTAGCTAGTTATCTCTTCTTATGAAGGCATGGTTATTGAAAAGAATAATACGTTGAACATGATCCTTCACGGAGGAAATGGTCTAGAGGCAAGTTAAAAAAAAATCATTTATTGATACGCTTGTATACAGATCACGACACACAACCAGACTTATTTTAATTTTAGATCAAATATGATTTTAAATCGAATATAAAAACCAATTAAGTTAAAATCATTAAGACATATACGAATTATCAATTAGTATTGGCAATAGCTTCGAGCTATCTTTTAACTCCGGTTATTATCGCCAACGCTCAAGGATAAACAACGCGAGAATACATAGGAAGCTTCCGGCAAAGAAAAAAAAATTACCAAAAACCTTGTCCAGTTTTAATCAATTCTCTAAAGAATACATTGCATGCTTTACACTCAAATGGTTTGCAAATTCAATCTTTCAGGTAAGCTTGTGTTTTTCATCTACAACTCATCTACATCGCTTTTCGATATTTATATCCTTCGTATTGTGAAACGGACTGAAAAGATAAGCCGTGGTTATTAATGAAAGGAACGGGAAAAAAAGGTCTGAAATCCCTGCCTTTCAATGTTTGCCAGGAAACTACTCCTGATACTGAGAGACGTTTAGTTGAGAAAGTGGTGAAAGGCTACCTACAAATTTTACTGTGAAGACGGTCTGACTACCTCAATGATTGCAATGTTTTGGTTAGAATTTTGAGGGTTTTGCTTGTAAACCTATCTTGAGAAATACTCTAAAGGAATATACTGTCTATATGTCGAAGTTAGTGTTATTTGCGAGGTTGATTGGAAATCAGTAAATTCTACAAAACGACGAATTTTAAGCGAAACGAAAGGTGAAGACATAACCCAAGATCAGAATCTAAATATCAGCTTTATAGATCGATCTTTTTTTTTTTTTTCAAAAATCCGTAACCAAAAGAAAGCAGAACCAAAAAAGAGAAGATGGATGAGCGGACCTTAAGCTTTTAGGGGGGGGTGCACGTGCACCCTGTGCTCCCCCCTAGTTACGGCCCTGGTCATTTCTTCCCAAGAATTTATAATTTTAAGCTATAACCGCTCACCAACACAGATCAATTAATGTTTACAATTAGTAAATGGAAAATTGGCGTAATATATGCTATCGATTACCTCTGGGGTGTCAGGTGCGATTCCTGGACTCGGCATCATACAATGACACACATATATAAGTGGAGTTTGTTAGGACTCACTAGGGTCTTTCTCCAGGTTCTCGAGTTTTTCTCTCTATGCCGGCAAAACCTATTCCAATTCAATCTGTGAGTTAGCCTTGCCCTGCAGGACTTTCATCTTCTCAGAGGTTGTTTCAGGGTATTTATAAAATGAAAAAAGCTATGCCGGTTTAAATCCGTGAATTTTTATTTCGGTGCTATTGAAAACATAACTACTAAACAAACGAATGTTTATATGATTGCATATTCAATACAATCATGCTGTTTGACAATTATTCGGCGAAAGGCGAAGTGAATATCGAGTTACTGAGACGCGAGTCTTCGAGCGGCGAGGTAAATATTCTCCTATATTCACTGAGGCTGAGGCAAATAATTGTTTTAATATAAATACACAGGTGATTCTTTCAAAAAAAGAAGGAAAAAAAAGAAGATAAAAGACTTTTTTTCCGGTAACAGCAACAAAGCGGCTGGCCGCCATTTTGGATTATCGCTGGAGGTGATTATCGTGTGATAGCGTGAGTTTCTCGACCAATCAGCGCGCGAGATTTTCAATAATCACCTATGTATTTTTACTAAATGCTCATAGTATATAATGCTTTTATGCCTTTCTTTTCTAAATACCAAAATAGAAGTGGAGTAATTTAGAATAAACTCAATTCGGATGAAGATTTCGTTTTGAGCTTAGTTTCTGAACTATGTACATTATTTGGATTACTTTGTGAAATGATATATATATATATTATGAGTATAATTTTATCATTCTTCAAGAAAGCTGGAGGAATTTAGGATGAAAATTTAACTCAGTCTGGATGAACGTTTCGCTTTCCCCTCTATTAACTATGTTTTTACATTAGTTGGATTGCTTTGTGAAATAAACTGAATTACCCTTGGCAACGCTATTAAACGCCACTCTTAAAGCGTTCTGTCGGGGGAAAAAAAGGCTTTACACTCATGATAGTAAGCTACACAGCTGCCAATAGCGCCTTAATATGCAGCCCGTAAAGTCCTCCACTGGTTATAAATGTGAAGCGCATTAAGACATTTGAAATGCGCTATGTAAGTACTCCGATTTGTTTTTATTTACGGTTGTTGAGCCGTACTTTTTGATTTAATCGTCCTTACTTTTTTGGAAGAGCTAGTCAAAAACTAGTGTGAGCTGTGTCGGTGTTTCTAATGAAACAGTAATGATAAAAGGGTAAATTTTACACCGTAAAAAGATGAAAAAACTTACTGACGCTTCGGACGCTAGTCTTTCGTCGGAGTTGTGTAATATTGGGTAATACTGCACTTTTCAAGACGAAAGTGATATTAAGCGCAACTAGTTCATGAGAAAGATTGAAATATTGAACGTTTAAGCTAGTCATTTCAAGATGTAAGAAAAGCTTTAAAACATCGAAAAGCAGCGCAGGAAGAGAGAAAGTCGTAATTCAAAGGGTTGAAAAAACTTTAAAACAACAACAACAACAACAACNAAAAAAAAAAAAAAAAAAGGCGGTTAACTCACATTTTACAATAAAGTTTTCTCTCAATAGATAAACTAATAAATCTGCGTAATTTCCCAATAAATTAATTCATCTCTGTCATTTTAGTAAATCTTATTCCGCCCCTTACCATGAATATTGATATTTGATTATATTGTCTGTGCTAGCGCTGTCGGTGTCCATTTAGTCGGCGACTGAAAAACTGAACAGTTTAATGGCTTGCGGCAGAGGCCTTTATTACAAAACTAGATTAAAACAGTGCGACACTCAAACACTTAGAAACTTCGTAAGCCAACAACTTCGTGTTTTAGAGAGCTTTTAAGTAAGATGCCATTGAATGGAAAAACGAATTCCTCAGGTTTCAAGAACAGAGCTATGAAGATTTTTTCTAGCATTTTGATCATGACAGGATTTATTGCCCAAATTCTCATTGTTTAACAAGTGGAGGTTAAATCTTTGAGAACATTTCCCGCTTTATTTTAGCAGCTTTAGTGAGCAATTGGACCAACTACGTCACGCCGTTACAGTGGAGACACTTGAACCTAAAAAGTGATCAGTGCGCATGCTTGGAGGCCATACTGTTCCGAATTCATGATACTGTTCATGATTAGAGTGTCCTCACTGTAAAAGATCTATAATAACTTATCTATGACCTTTTAAAAAGATTTCATGGAGACCGAAAGAATCAAACGACATTAAAATGGAATTAGACCAAAAACTAAAAAAAGAGTCTAATCGATTCGTATTAAAGTGATTTGTAACAACGTATACGTAATCTAAGAGTTTCAAAATCCAATTCATCCATTTTTGACTAAACTTGCCGCAGCTTTTACTGCCTCTAAACCATTCTAAGAGTTCCAATTAATTGAAGGTAACCTAATTCTTAAGATACTTTAGATTTTTTAAAGAGTAAAAGCCGAATTTAAGACCTTTCAAGTATATAATGGAAAATTTTTTTTTTTTAGATATTATCTAATAATTTTAATGGGTAGAAATTCACCTCATCTGTATTAGAGATTTATGACCAAGGATTTTTGGTCTTCTTGATCATTTACCTTGAGTGAGTTATTACAGCGGTTTGTACTAAAGACGGCAACATCTATGACTTTCAACGCCCACGCCCATTTGAGTTCAGAAAAGATTCTTATAATATAACCACAAATGTTTGTATTTAACATTTGTATTTGGATGGAAGGAAGGAAGGAAGGAAGGATACATGGATAGAACTAGATAGATTGACTGGTGGATGGGAGGGAATATGATAGATGGATGTATGGAGGGAGGGAGGGAGGGAGGGATGGGTGGAAGGATGGATGGATGGAGGGAGAGATGGATGCAAAAACATAAACAAAGCCAATACATAAAAAATATATATATAGGAAATTTTATGAGTTTTGATCCCAATTTTCGTTTTGAGTTAACGCTCAAAACCTTTTTTAAACAGAAACTGATGTACTATGATAAAATGCCTGTTTGAAGCGGTATTTTCAATTGTACAAAGATGTTTTGTTGCATTTGTGTTAGAATGTTGCTTTGTTAGGCTCCTTTATAGAAAATATATGGGAAATAAGCAAATGAAGGCCTAAACCTCATTTTCGAATAMAATTTTTGCTTTGGGTTAACACTTTGATTCCCCTTTCATCGGTCATCTCCACTTCCAAACAAGTTAAACTTTCTGAATAACAAGGTTTTAGCCTTGTACAACAGCCTTTCTTCAAGAAAATAGTTTTTGGCGATCACTGCTTGAATACGAAAAGAATTCTCTCTTAATATATTAATGACGATAAATAGATTCAAACAATCTATATAATAAATAATTGAAAAAGGGCTTTTAAAGACCTTGTAGTATCACAGACTTCATAAAAACTTTGCAGCACTGATCGGTAAATTTGACAAATTATTACAGAATCAAGTTAATAGACAATTTCTCTTCATTTGCTAATCTTCAAGTACCCTTTACACTTATCTTATATGTATGTAAACAGTTTTTTCCTGCAGTGTTCAGCCAGTGTTACACTCATATTACTTTCATTGCCTCGTGTCAAGTCAATACCCGAAAGAAATTTCTCAAGCAAGATTCTTAGTCATCCTAGACCGATCGTGGTTGGAAATTCCTCTTTGTTTCAAATTCAAAGGTAAGATAATTGCTAAAAGAAGTAACTGATTTAAGCTTCTTAGGATACTTCATTTTAACCTCGGACTATATTGTGGTCTACCTTGATGTGTGCGATAGAAGCTTGCCGCTCTGAGTGACTAAAATGTTTCAAAAGTATGATGATGTTTTGTGCAAACTTTGGTATCTCTACTGAGATGTCTATAAGCCAAACATGTCTAATCAATCGAGCTAAAACCGTCATTCGTTGTCTTGAAAGACGATGAGATGAAACAATTTGGTTCAGTATATGTTCAACACATTCACTGAGGCAGAATAGTTGCGAAAAAAATATATCCCTTGAATTTAGCTGCATTGAGCAAAAAGCTCAGAATTTAGTTGCATTGAGCAGAGAATATTATACTTTTAATTTCAATGTGTCATGGGAGCTCATGGACATGTTTTCAGTTAACTTGGGATTGCAGTTTATTTTGATATATATAGATGATTGTGTTTTGACTAACGTCTAGTATAGGTCGTCTAAAAGGATCAGATATCAGTAAACTATAGTGTTTAAGGTGGAACCAAACTAATTCAGAGCGAATTTTGGACAATTTTATTCTCGCTCCCTTCGCAAAACTAATACGTCAATTTAACTGGATTTTTCATATAATGTGCTTGGGTTATCCTAGATTCTAACAGTGTATTATATTTTGATTTTTTTAAAAAATATTTAGCCTATTACGGCCGGAACTCAGGCAATCCATTCAATGGTAATGTTTCTGCAGCGCGATGTTTCATATGCTTCAAATTTTGGATCGAATTTTCAAGCGGCGTCATAACTTTTTTTTCTGCCCAAGACTTTCCATCCAAATTTATACACAGGCTGCAATAGTACTAAATGATAAGATACTGAAAATTTCAGAAAAATCGTACCTGAGGATGAGGAGAAAAAAGCCAAAAACTAAAAATAGCACTGTTTGATTTTCCTTGTACTTTACTGTCCTATGCTGCAGCCGTGTTCAAAGATTCAGGCCATTTATTGAACTGAAGAAGTTGACAATTTTTTTAATTTTATGACGAAAATATATTAGTTAGTAAAATTAGTTTGCATAATTAAGGATCAAGGGACAGCGAATTTTTAATGTAAAAGTAGTATAAATAAAAATAATATCATATACACGACTTTCATATTTTTTTTTTTTTTTTTTTTTTGTGATAGAGAAAATAAGGCCTTTTTTTATATCAGAAAATTATCAATGCTATTTGAGAAAGCACTTCATGAAAACTATTTGCAGAAGATTTTGTTAAATTTAACTGATTACAAAAGAAGTTATGAAAAATTGAACATAGAGAGTTTTGTGTAGTATTCATTATCACTGCAGGCCTTGGTGGCTTTGTTATGGTGCATATTCAAGGCTTCAAATTCTCATATCTTGTCAAGGATTTAGTATAGTTTGCAATAAAAAGTTGAAGTATAATGAGACATGCAAGTTGCAAAGAAAATTTCTCCGAGTAATCGCGCCTTTAGTTAATGTTATGGGACGACCCGCTCTCGGTACGAGCTCCGGGATCTTTATTCCACTTTTTCTGACTCTATTCTTCTTCTCTGACTTAAACTAATTACATGAGCTCAATTTATGATAACTTCATGACAGGTTTCATTCTACAATCAATGTGATATTATCGCGGAGTCTTGATCGGCTGAAGGAATAAGTAAATTCCTAAGTGTGATATCTTATTAAAGAGTAATACGAGTAAAAATCTTAGAACTAAACATAGCTTAAATTTAAGTTAATATATGAATATATGGTAAGGTAAATGTATAGAAAGGTCTACGAGGAATATTTCTATCATAAGATTTAAAATAATAGTGCTAAAATAACTAAGCAAAGGGGTAAAGAGTGTGTAGGGCGTAACCAGAGGTATACATGCTAGGGGGTTTACTTGTGAATTCAAAGCACACCATTATCTAAACTTGTGCGTGATGGTAGCCTTACTGAATTCTTATATCGATATTTTTAATAGCTAATTGATTCTTTATCTTGTTTTCATACGATAAGAAATAGTAATTAGAAAACTGATCTCTAGCTTAGTCTGTAAAAACCTGATTAATATTATGACAGATGGTGTTAAAATCTAGTAGCACTTAGTTAAAGTCAAAAGGTAGCTCAAAATATTAATTAAACAAAACAAAACAAACAAACAAACAAAAACACTGTAAGGTCGAACAAGCATTTCTTGAGACGCCATCTTGGAAATATGTCCGCTAAATTCGTCCTATAAATTTACACGCGCGAAAAGATGACTAGTGTAAATGACCCGATAATTTTCGATTTTAAAAGCGATCCCGGTCATTGATTGAATTTTTATAAAGAAATAAAGATTTTCCGCTTCCCACTCTTTTTCGTCTGGGAATACCGACGCGTGTGCGATTGATAGACCGCCTTTTCCCTTTTTTTTTGGTAGGAAGTAGCGTGCGCAATTGATCGCTTTTCCAGTTCTAAAAAAATATGATTCCAACTATTTTGAGAGATTTGAGACCTAAAACTGCAGTATAATGATTAGCCTCCGCAGGCTACTCCATATATTCTCCGTTGGGATCAATGTGTTATATCTTACTGCAGAGAAGAACAACTAGGAAAGAGACAAAGTAAGCTTGGCACGTTCCACCAATGTCTGGTGGCCCCACACCTCTGGTGGCCCCTGAACCCCTTCTCAAAGAGACGCCCAAGGAGCAAAAAGAGCCAAGGAGATGCCTGTGGATGAGGCTATATTATGATTATTTTACGTTATCGATTTATTAGTCATTGATTAATATTATATTAGATTAGTAATGAATTTTTTTGGACCCGCTACGTTTTAAAGAAGCTAACCATTTGTGAAACTCAAGCCCGAGACACTTTATCCATGCAGATGTTGTTTTGAAACGAGAGATACTTTTTAATAGGTTTTCGTTTGATAGTCGTGCATACAACTGATATTTAAAACCAATTTGTCCACCTGCAAATTGAGTCCAGGAAGGAAGACAGAGAAATAAGTCTTTAGTCTCTTTAAAAAGTGATACGTTTTCATCAAGAAAGCACTTATCAATCTTATCAATAAAGATATGAATTTTTGTGGAGGTTCGGCACCATTTTATTTTGACAAAAGCTGTTTCTTTGTCGACTTAGGGTCACGATTTTCGTACTGAGTCAAATGGGGGATTTTAACCATTGTTAAGAAGTTTACTGCGAATCCAACTGCCTTCTCACGCCCCAATAAAAAAAACGAATCTTTCTATCAAACTTAAAATACGAACCTTAGCAAACCATAAAATCCTGCCCAAAAAGATCCAATTCAGTCTAGTCTAGTTCAACCTTTTCCCAAGTTTAGAAGGCTCTACTACGTTTCTTTAACAACTTCCCCAGCTCCCTCCCCCGCCGCGAAGAGCACACCACTAATATTGAATAATTCAGTGTCTACTTCAATTATTGATCAAATGTTACCCATGTTAGCAGTTTTTAAAATTGTATTTTTCATCTTTTGTCTATTGATTAGAGTACCATAGCTTTTAGGTTGGCTTATTATAGCATTATTATCATTTGTCATCCGTGAAAAGAGCTTGAGGTATATGGACATAGAGACTTTTTTTTTCCTTTCTCACTTTTCAATAATAATGAATCCTGGAGGCTGTTTTATTCAGGTAAACATTTTCCAATTCTCAAAACAAAAGTCAACCGCACAACGTAAACCTTGTCAGTAAATATCAGTTTTGTTTATTTGTATCTTCTTTGCAGTCAAACCAGAGTTAATAGAGTTAATTAACTCTGGTCAAACTGACTCTTGTATGCTATTAAAGATTGTCTAAGTCGATAAAAACACATGATTAGATTCAATGAAAAGATGAGGCTTTGAACCAGTTCAATTAGCTCATAGACAGGATATTCAAGTCCAATCGAATATGGCAGTGGGAATTTAAATGTGCATATTATAGCAATTCTTATCGTCTCTCGCTGATTAATTGTTCGAAAACTGTGCTTTATTAGAGAACGCCAGGACTACAGTGTTGATGCCATCCGGGCACGCAAAGTGCTGCTAGATCCTGTGATCGTCTTCTTTTTTTTTTTTTTCTTTTTGCGTCAATAAACTTCTACATCGAAATAAAATTAATCCAAGTTAAAATCTAAGTTTAAATAGAATAGATCAGATACAGTGCAAATTTTTAAAGTCATTACTTTTGGTCAACATCTTATGCAGTATCGTGCAGCCCTATGGCATCAGCATCTTTGTGATAAAAAGATATAACTAGCTAAAAACTAGTGTGAGCTGCGTCGGTGTTTCTAATGAAACAGTAATGATGAAAAGGTAAATTATACACCGTGAAAAGAT